TAGTTTTAAGATATAGTTTTCTTTCTTTCTTTTTCAGAAATCCAATTTGTTTAGTCAAACAAAGAACAAATTATAATCTTGTTCTAAATATTGCCTTATTATTTTTATTCGTCCCATTAAAACTAACATTAATATTTTATGAAAGCCGAAGTATTTAATATGATTGCTTAGTACTAGTCAAGTTTTACATTGACCATAAAGAGTACTGATTTGTTGTTATATCCGAAAGGAAATGATATACAGTATTTGTTTGTTTTGCCGGTTGGTATAATTCGAAACTGAGTTCGATATTAATGTTATTGCAATTAATGATAGAATAAAATATAATTATTACAACAAGGGAATACAATTTAAAATGGTTCTTTGATTATAGACTTGAACATTTCAAAGTAGTATGCAAGAATCTTAGTCTTTTTAACTATAGGAATGTGTAACAGCAATGGGAGAATAAAGGGAATTCTAAAATAACACTGATCAACAAATGTATAAAACAAATTTATCTGTAAGCTGACTTATTTGAACATAAATTTTTTCTGCCTGACGAAGAAGATCCGAATATCTTAGCTTAAACTCTGTCTTTTAATTAATATATATATATATGTGTGTGTGTGTGTGTGTGTACATAACTTACCGTAAAATTAAAATTGCGGAGGAATGAAAAATTTAAGACCTAATAAAGTATTTATTGCCTTTTGAAGGTTGAGAGATACAGTTAAAATGTGTTCAATTATTCCTAGAATGACGTTATTAAAGTGGGAATATTTAATGTCAGTTCGATCGATAAATTACTTGTATAATTAACGTCATTTTTATAAAATGGATATGTACGAACCGACTTATTTTCACAAATCATAACGAAAAAATCAGATACCACAAGTTAAAATCTTTGAATTTTAAGACATAAAGCTATCAAGTTTTCTTTTTCATTACTGAGTAATTATTAACACAGTACGTTTCTTTTTGTGCTTCTCCTTAAGTTATTGTACAAATGAGCAGGACTCACACGCTAGTTTGTCTTCCTGTTTTAATGACAGAGTCTAACTTAGTGTTTCCAGTGTTAATAGAACAGATGTTAATTGAACAGAAACGAAGCGTCACGAACACACATTAAAGAGGAAGAAAAAGATCGAAGATTTCAACCTATAGGTACGAGTTGTGTTGGAAGAGTGTTTTAGTGTGATACGAAAATAACATTGTTTTCAATTCTTAATGCTGTGTTCTTTTGAAAATTCAGACTTATGTTTTCAATGACAAATTGAAGTGATTTACTCCGTTAGAATCGCATATAATTATATATATATATACGTATAAACATATAATATCTCGCCCTTTCGTCACACAAAATATTCATACCTGTGGGTAATATTGGGATTAATAACGCGCCCTGTTTAAGAACGATCTATATATATAATTATATCCCTTCACGACTATTGGTATTTTCTGTAAAATCTGCTCTTAAAGTCTCAAAATGTCAATTATTGCCAAAGATATACAAATATCTGCTGATGGTGACTTCCACAAATAACAGCTCACACTCTGAGTGTAATGAATAGCAGTCGTTAATTGGAATGATTATTCTCTGTGTATATGTTAGGAAAATATTAAAAGTTTAAAACTTAAATCTCCTATTTATCAATCAGGATTCAAGGAACACTAAATACTAATCTCTTTTTTTTAATGTACAAATAATATTATTTCATGATTTGAAATGAATATCATAATTTTTTTCTTAAATTAATTTTGATCTCTATTCCATAATTTCTATGCAAAGTTTGTAGCGCACAGTGAAATGTTTTTATTAAAATATGAAAACGATATTTCTCCCCTGTGTGCCTTGAAAGACATGAAGACTGAAAGTTATGGCCTCGTAACGTTATTTAGTATTCATTTCAACCAGTTCATAATCATTTCCCTTTCTTGCTTCAACTAAACTTCCATTTTGTTTGGCATTAAGAGAATGTTTTATTAGTAACGTGACTTTATATGGATACATAAAACGATTTGTGGACTTATTTTTTACGTAAATGTTAGTTTCGAACATACAATAATTACTTAAATTAAACTTCGATATATTCTGTTTTATCGATTTTTTCAAATCATATCAAACTAAAATGACAATAGTAATAAAAGTATGACTTTGTATATATGTATATACTAACTAGCTGACGTACTCGTTCAACACACAGGGAAGAAAGATATAGAGACCCTGGGGGCGACACAAATGGGGGTCAGATTCGAACGCCGACCTATGTCACTCCCTTGGGGATCCTAAGGATAAATGACCAGGCTTGGTAAAAATCGGTCCATCGGTTCGCCTTTTATAAACCAACACACAATCACTCACACAGACTTTTTCATATAAAGGTTACCAAAGTTATGTTAATTTTAAAATATTCAAGAAATAGAGCTTAAAACATCTTTCCTTTAATAATATTTTGAAAGACCAACTATTTTACTACAGTATATCTTTTACAGTTCTCATGCTACAGTTGTGCTCAAGTTTGTTTATTTTTACTTTCTTTTAAGACCAGTATGTTTTTACTCTTTGCCTTGTTCGAAAAGCTGATATATATATATAAAGTATACTTCGAATAGTGTATAACAGTACTTACTAATTCCTTTTATTGCCATGGTTATTGTTGAAATTGTTAGCTACAAAAGCTGTAGACATATTTTTTCTATACGTTTTAAAAAATATCTGAATGTTTCAACTCTGTCAATAAGAAAACATTATATTAAAATTAATCAAAGTTATACTTAAAGTATAAAGTTTCTACAGAACAAAGCTATGGAACCTTTAATTAAATTTTTTATTTGGTAAACGAAGAATATATTTAAATGATATTATTATATAGTCACCTAAAATGGGAATTTTAGGAAAGAAAAAAATTATACTTTGGCTTAGTAAATTACCGTTGTTATCAAAATTAATAACTTAAACCAAACTGAATTCGACATTATTAATAGAAAATTTTCAAGTGTATAATAGTTCTTGTAAAAGTAATGCTACCAAAATTATTTTATTTATTTCGGGTATTTGGTGTTAAAATAAAATTATACAAAATAATAAATAATAAAGGAAAAGTGGTTGTCACCGGCTGGTTGTCTTCATGTAGTTGATGGTTCCGAACTAGGAACGGTGCACTGATAAACGTGCTGTTTATTTACTACTAAAGATTTTTTGTTTTATATATATGCTCAAGAGTGACTATATTATTTATTTTAATCATGTTCAGTGGCGGGATACTTTTATAAACATGTTTAACGTTCTATCTTAAGTGAAACATTTCGCTAAACACCTTTAGCGAGTAAATCAGTATACCATAAATGACCCTGTAACAAGGCATCAATGACAATACTATCAAGAACTTAAAGATACTGCCATATCCAGTATCAAATTTCATCGCGCCAGTTTTGTCACTGGTAGAAAATGTTATCAGAAGAGCTAATTATATTTTTGTCACGGGAAATTTCGTTGGGTTAATTAGTTGCAAAAACCTGTCTTCAACCCATTTTTTGAGTTAGAAACGCTTACTACATCGGTTTATGGTCGAAAGATATCGAGGGTAATCATTGTCTTTTTTTTATGCGAAAAGACAATTGAAAACCAATAAATTTAGTGTATACTCATGATTTTTTTTTGTGTATATAAATCGTTTTGATGTAAATAACTTGTGACACGTATGAATAAAAATAATATGTATCATATTGCCGAAAAATTGCATAATGGTCACTTTACTGATTCACTTATTCGATTCACATAAACAATCTTGACTTTTTACACTTAAAATTTGTTAAAGGTGTAGCATGGAGTTAAATTTCGTCAAAGTACCTTTTTGTGGTAGATATTCCTGTTTTGTTTTTCAATCCGAAACTCTCTAAACCTTGGAACATAAAAAATGACTCTTACCTTTATTCAAGCCCAACGTAATAGACGTTTCCTTATGACTCTGCAGCACATTTTACTTTAACAGCGATAGTGAAACTCACGTTTAACGTTCCTTCTTAAGTGAAGCGTTTCGTTCAACAACCAAAGAAGTGAATATAACAAAAAGCAAAACACCCACATGTTTATAAGTTTTGTATAACACTATAAAATATAGACATGTTATATCTATGTTTCACTTACTTTGTTCAGTTCACCTATTCCGAAAATGACGAAATTCATTTAGCCTGTATGTTCTATAATATTCTACTTTATTTAGTATGCATATTACAAAAACTAACTGCTTCGTGTGTTAAACATGATTGACAGTGGCTTACTTCTTTTTTACTATATATGTTAATATTCTTTTGTATATATTTATATTTCTACTTCTTGTCGCTTCCTTTTTATATACTCGTTCAAAAGTACTTTTCTTTTTATGAACATGTTCAGTAGTGGGCTACTTTGTGTTTGCAGGATTAACATTGGCTTTCATTATACATACATGTTTATGTTCAACAATGGCTTCTCTTTGTAAACATGTTCAGCATTGGATTACTGTTTATTTACTACTGAAGATTTTTGTTTTGTTTTATATATATGCTCAAGAGTAACTATATTATTTCTTCTATGCATGTTCAGTGTTGGGATACTTTTATAAACATGTGCAAAACCATGTGAAGACAGATGTCGTAATCCAAGCCCTTTTTTTCTAGTTTTTGAATTATTCACACCAGGAAATTTATACAATTCTTAATTATATGATCTTGTTATTCGATGATATAGAAGTTTGCATGCTTTTTGTTCATTTATAAAAATCTGTTGATATCCGGAAGTTCTGTTTACTAAATTTGTACTTAATTCATTTCCAGATTGATAAGGTCTTTGCGATGAGGAATTAATTTTCAACACCGATTTCAGATCATAAAGCAAAATATTTAGACAGTAGCTACTTTTGACCTTCTTTTTGTTTTAATACGTTTTGTTTACAAACAATTCGGCAATCATGTGTAATTAAAATAGGCATAAAGAGAAATGTTACAATGAAAGAACTTGAGAGGACAATATTTGGTGAACTCACATCAGACAGTTTATTGTAGCTTAAAGCAGACTACATAAGCCATAAAATAGAAACCTAGACCTTTACCCATTATACCAAAATATTTATATATATCAGACCATATCTACAACTAGAAACCAAACATAGAAGAGCAATGAAACAGAAGACAGTAAATTTTTCTACTCTTTAACCCTTAGGTAATTAACAGTTGAAATACAAGTCCATACCTATCATGACTTTCTAGTATAATATTAGGAGATCTAAAAAATTCGACTAAAACGTTACTTTTATTTTAGTCAACAACATGCCCAATCGTAAGATTGCTATATTAGGCTTGCTTTCATGCCAAGTGACGTCATCTGACGTCGCTTGGAGGAACTTCAAACTTTATGAGGATGGAAAAATGCTGATCGAGCTAGAATCTACGATTCTCAAATCACTTGCACCCGTAGTATAGGAACATTTGATAATGTCACACTTAAACATGCTACAACAACTTACTGCCAAAAAAAAAATAGTAAAAGCCGCGACGAACATGCAGTTTAACTAGAAAAAAAATATTCGATCCACACACAGGAGAATACAAATGCACATTTTATAGAGACAGGTCAGGTGTCTTATGGGAAACACAGAAACTCTCCAATCAATCCCTCATTGGGCATGAGAGTATAATATATTTTAATGTATAATTACATGTATATAGGAACTTCGAATACAATATGAGGTAGAGGAAAAAAGATGTCTAAATTCAAAGACCTCGGCCAACCTAGAAAAATCTTCCTCTCCTCGGCATGTAACTTAAAACCGTTATTCACCCCGAGTCAAAATTGTGCTTTGGGAAACGTCCCCTCAGTGGACCAGCGACAGGCACCCCATTGCCCATATCAAGGTCTTTTATCAACCGCTAGGTTTCTTTGATTTTGTCTTTTAGTATAAGGACGATGAAAATCATTCCTGAGGTAAACAGTTGATCCCTTTGAAATGTTTCAAGACACGCTGACCTTTAGTAAGTTAAAACATAAGCTGAAATAAATGAATAATTTCTACATTTTCATGACGTGTAGATAATTGTTACATATGTTAATTACCTACTTTGGACAAACATGAATTACATACATCTTGTTTGATTTCTTTCTGATCATACAAAACTGCCTTCTTTCTATGTTATCAATGTTGAATTTACTGAAATAGAAACTATCAAAGATCAATATGAATATTCTATATAGGTTTTCACGCATCGACCCAGCTTTGATTATTGCACCAATATCATCTATCGATCTGTCGAAAAATAATCGTAATAAAGCAATAATTATTTATAAACAATACAAAATCAATAAGCTTATTTTAAATGTAAGAAATGAGTAGTATACTTTCGAACAGTATCAAATGAAATTTGCTTTTATCTCTTAAACGTTTCCTTATAAACTTCAATTTTCTATTTTGTTCTTTTTGCAAAGCGTGTTTTTTGTTTGTTTGTTTAGCACAGCTATGAAATATTAATCCAATCACACATACTTTTAATAATAATAATAATAACCATTTGACAATTAGTCTTCACATTTACTCTTTTTTTTTTTATACTCAGAATGTTTGTACATTTTCAACTGATAAAATAGGAACAGATGTAAGTATAAAACATGAAAATGGCTTGTCGCGAGGCTGCCGTGCACAAGATTCCCGCCAAAATACACCAATGCGAGGAAGCCATCAGGTATCTGAGAAATCCCGGGAAATTTAGATAAGAAATATACTAAAAACTACACTGACAGTTTAGAGACGGGACGGCAGCCACAGTTAATGATTTTTTTTGTACTAATAGAAAGATTACGATAACATACAAAAACACATGTAAATAAGCATAACAAACGGACGAACAGAGCTGTAAAACATTTCAGCTTTCGTCTTTTCAACAAAAAATATCCTTCAAAACGAACAAAGCCCGCTTCCAACAGACTTCTCGTGCAAGCACCATCAATATTTGATCTTCTCTTCTGTCTTTGCACCATTCTTTCTACTCAACAACAAAACTCTTGAAATGTTACACATAAACTATCACAGTACAATGATCACTGGATAAAGTTAAACCATAATAGTTCAAACAACAAACTTTAAACGCAAGAAAACTTGTTATTTTTTCAATTAATTGATGATATTAGAGAGAGGTGGATAGTTTAGCCTAGATTAATACTTATGGCTTGTGCATTTTCTATATATAGTTCAAAAAACGATAAGATATTAAATCGTACAGATTCCACAGGTAATGTAAATTTGAAAGCTTTCTGTTCTTAGGCAATAAGAAACTGATTAATTTTTAAAACCGAAATAAAATGATCGCAAATATTTAAAGAAATTAAATTACTTTTAAGACCTTTTATCGATCATAAACAAAGAAAAACAAATCAACAGTTGATATCAGTATAACCATTCCATAAAAAAACAACAAACAAAACAAGTCTCTTTCAGATGTTTTCAGATGATTGTATTTCTTTCTTTTTTTCTTTCTAATAAATAACCCTTCCCGTCCCAAATGTATATATATATATATAGGCTTGGTGTGATAGGAACTCGAGTACGCCCTTTCTTCAAAGAGCAAACGACACAATAAGTATTTAGTTTATAGAGGTGAGCACAAAAAGGTATAAAATTAAACGCACTGAGTTCGAAGTTACACCAACTTGAGATTCAGCTCCGCCAAAAAATATATAGTTTTACTCTCAAGTTAAGGTATAACCTCTCATTCGTACAATAACTGGAGCATAAACAAAGCAGCAACATGGCACTATACACAAATATGGCCTCTATAAGACAATTTCATAAAAAGATCTTTCCATTTTAGTATGTACATGCAAGCACAATCTATTCGAAACTTCATTTTCTTTATCTTGTTCATGTCGCATTGTCTCGAGAGGTTGATAGGCAAGCGCCCCCTCCCGGTAGCCTGAGCAGTTACTCATCATTAAAAAACACACAATAACGTGGCAGTGAGCAAAGACTCTCAATCTGCAGCACAGACTGTATTTCGGAATTCTTGTCATTATCGATCAACAAAATATTGGAAGCAGTACCATTTTAACTTCAAATTGCTCCTTTCTAATAGAGTACCTTGTTTCTCTTTCTGATTTTGTGAAAGTAAATAGAAACTGGCACTCTCCTTTGAAACAAAAACTTAAACATCGCATCTTTGAATACCTAAAAGAAGAATATTACCTGTGTCTACAAGCAGCGTCAGATGATCTTCTACAGTATACATACACAAAGTATTAACAATTCACGATAATAGACATATTTTTCTGTATTCAACACAAATGATTACTACATCGTTCACACATTCTGTATTCAAATATTTGTATATATATACTTATATTCGTGTATATTTCGTGCAAAAGTAATTTACGCTAGGAAAAATGAAAGAAAGACTGAACAGTAAAATATTTCTTGTAGATTAATTTCTTTTTTTACATAAAAATGCAGGAACTTTCTTAACACCGGCGTCGCCTTAGGCTAAGGCGATTTTCGGAAAGGAACATGGGTTTCAAAGCATGAGGCTCTCACTCCTGTGCAGACTTTTACAACTATCATATACATATACATATAGTATAAAAGACTCCCTTAATTTCTCTTTAAACACACATTTGTTTAAGTTTGCGTTCAACTTATATATATTTATCTATTTTTGTACCTTCCCCCTTTGAGTTTCCGTTAATATCTTAGTTTAAACTTGAGGACACGAATTTCCGATTTTGATTTAAAAAACGTTTCCTATAACTTTTTTTTTCAACATTGTCGAAACATCATTTCATTTGCTCGCATTTTTTTTTCATTAACATTTGTAATAATTTTTGCTGTTTTTTTTCGAACAGCATTAAAATATATCAAAATTTCCTAACCTTTCACTTTATTCCTAATCTTCCTGGCATTATTATGTTTTCCCCTTTAACAACGTAAACAAGATGCTGAAATTATTTGTTGTTTAAAGTGCAAAACACGAATTATACATTATCACTACATTTCACATTCACAATTTTTCCATTACTGTCTAGGAAATAAAACGATTTAGTGTAGAAACGAACTCAAAGTTAAAACAATGTTTCACACACACACACACACACATATATATATATATGTTTATATATATATATATGTATTGTAAATTGTGAAAAGCTAATAGCTCAATTACATTTACTACTAGGAATCTTTTTTTTGTAATAACATACGCAATTAGATGTAAGGAGTGTCTCCACTTTTCTCTAAGATCTAGATAACCAATATGATTTCCAATTGTACACATATATATATATATACTTCATTATATACGGGCGACGGCCAAAAGTTTATTGCCTGACAACTGTTTTGTGAAAAAGAAAACGTTAAAAGGGGAAACTATAGGCGTTTGGCCTCTGTGTTCATGTTCGATTCACCCGAATAGCACATTCCAATTTTAGATAAATGATCAGACACTGAGATATCCATTCCGTTACCCATCATCACTGAATCAAGTCCGAGTGTAAAGTTCAAGGAGGAATCCAGGTCATGTCTAAAATCCGTTTGGACTCCTGAGAAAAAAAGAGAAGATGGGATTTCTGGCATTCCGTTTCTAGTTTCATGCATTGATGACCCTCCAGATATTAAGTTTCCTGCATGAGGTTGGGAGGTCATAGGTGGTGCTATTGAAGGGTATATCCCGCTTTGTTGAGAAGCTGATGACATCATGGAACAGGAGGACAGATGACTGGTGTTCACTGGCGTAGCCAAAGTAGGGTACATTGCTGAGGTGGATGAAGAAGACAACATGGCCGCTGCACCAAAATTTCTCTGTGACATAGTGGAAGATGGTATTACTTGTGAACCTGGTAACTGACTTTGTAGAATAAGACCTTCATCATTAGAATGACATGTGGATACTAATTCCCTTTGTAACTTTTGAACTCTTTTCATATGTCGATCCATATCGCAATGAAACTTAAAATCTACAACAGTGGAGAACCGTTCTTTGCATACCCTACATTCGAAATGTGTTTGGACAAGCTTCAAAGTGGCTCGGGTCTCTCCCTTACTGTCTGCGAAACATGATGCTCTTTGGTGATTGATACATATTATTTCAGCTGGATAGACCATTTGACATTTCTTACATACGAATCCAGTGTCTATATCTACTTCTGCAAGTTGCTGGACATCAGTTTCTTTGATAGAACCTTTAATGGTATCGATATTATTCCCATCCTGCGTGAAACGAATTGTGCTGTTTCCTGGTTGACACAACTTCTGAGTAACATCTAACACCACCGCTGGAGGGAGCTGCAACAGTGACAGGGGTGTGCTGTACATGTTGGAGTCGTAAAACAAGTTCTTGGCGGCAGAACATCCTGTAAGACAAAAAAATATATGATGTCAAGAATGAACAAGAACCATACAATTTACAAACGTGCCGTATAGGTGGGCTTTTTAGTCACGAAATACGTTTGATCAAGTTAACGATAAACAGTGGGAGTTCTACCTGTTGTCTAGCCGGTAAAATGATGCTGAAAGGAATGTCTGACACATCTTAGATGCATCATGTCACCGTATACGTTATTATTCAACCGGTACAATTTCTATCTCTCTAACTTCAAATACATCTCATCGGACTTCACATGCTGAAATCAGAATAAGACTATATCATAAGGTCAACCAGTTGTTAGCCAAACAAAGAGTCACAGGGCTAGAGTGTATAAACAGTGAATGTTAGATCTATTTTCATAGCTAATGGCTTTCTCGTTTACATATTTAAGTAACTAGCGAGAACTTCGTCAAATAATAAAAAATTATGAGTTACAAGATCATCATTCTTTTCCGTAAATCTTCTTTTTAAATATTATTTAATAAATATAAAATGAAGCAGAGATTTTTGTATCCCAAATTTCAATATATTGGAAACATGGTTTCCTTAAAGACAGTTATAAACCAGTACTTGTGCATAATACACTTTTTTATCAAATTAACTTGCCATACAGTACTGCAGGACAACATGACCTGATATAAGGAAGCACCAATTACTTTTAACAATATAATAACTCAAATGGGAATAATCAACATATTAAAAACAAGATTCACAATTAAAAATCACAAAAGAAGTGACAAATATTTTAGGTTTTCGTTTTTAAGAAATCAGGTCTCAACGAAGGGAGATTAATCGGCGTGGTAGAGTTTTACCTTTTAAAGAAGTCTGGTGTAATGACTGTTACACTCTCAGCGGAGAGATCAACCTGAGGAATTTTATAAAATCTAAAACAAAACAAATAACAGTAGAAGCGAGTTAAGACAATTAGGTTTTATCTGAAACACATTACAGTTTGCTTAGTTTGAGAACTACTTCAGTAATGTTTATTGAAGCAAACAAACTAGTAATAATTCAAATTTTAAGGTGTTGTAATATTTAAGAATTATGAGTAAGAGCAGTTTAACTGTTATAAATTACGTTAAAAGTGAGTACAATGACACAGACTTAACCACAGAATAAAATATTAATAAGAGATAGAAATAACCCTCGGTTCGTATACATCTTACTTTTTCTTCCGTAAACGTAAGGGGGTGAGTGATATATCTTACTTAAGGCAAGGTATGCAGGTTACGTACATTTATTACATATCTTATCCTTATAAATATTCTGAATGGCATTAACTGTGCTTTAACACGAATATGGCAATATTATTTTATTTACGTTAAGGACAACAACAACAATGTACATTTTTCTTCATGTTTAAATCATGTCAACATCAACAAGATATCTGGGGCAGAAAAAAGTTTTGCATATCAAATTTCAGGTGGTCATTTGTAAATGAGAGAAATAGAATACCTTAACATTTCTCCTTGACGGTTTGTTACAATTATATGATTGTACAGAACATGCTAAGAGGATTAGCAAATCTTGTAGTTCCTGTTCACTAACATTAACATTTTATTGTAATTTATACTTAGCTTTTGACAAAGAAATTAAATTACAATAAAAACAAAAATATTTCTCCAGAATATAAACGAGATGAATAACACGTTGTTTTAGGTGCTCAATTTTATAACTGCATTCAGGTAACTCAGGATGAGAAATCATTTTTCATGTGTGTATATATATCTATAGAGAGAGAGAGACTTTCGTTTTGACATTTTTAATTTTTAGTTAAATTCAGTACGAATACCCTATTACATTTTAAACTTGTTGCTGATAGGTTTTAATGTTTTCTCTTTTAGTCAGGAAAATAGATATACTTTTCGGTTAGGTGGTTTTGATTACTTGATATTAACAATTCTGCAAGAAAGAACATTCTGTATAATCATCTTTCCTCATGCAGGCAATCTATTTTTTTTTGCTAAATGTTCGGTTTAATGTTTAGTATTCTTAGAATTATTGTACTAAACGCTTCCAGATATAAGCTATTAGCTTTGGCAGATCGTTACTGAAGCAAATATAACTATATGAACAAAAATATTTCATCAATGCAAAATCCTCTTTCATTTCAATGATTCTGCTATTACGACCTCGTTAGATTAATACAAGTGTTTTTGAAAATGGTAGAAAAGATATTAGACACTCGACAACAGCTTCTCGACATTGAGGCTGTTATTAAGTCTAGAATGTAGTCTCTATATGCCTAGTTTCTTTTATATTTGATGTCCACTCATATTTGGTTGTAGAGTAATGTTAAACATTGACGATTGACCAGAATTGGACAGTGAGACAGTTGATGTCTGTGGTAGTCCTACAGCGGCACTGTTGAAATAATTGTTTGTAGTGTAAGCACAAAACTACACAATGGGCTATCTGTGCTCTACCCACCACGGGTATCGAAAACCGATTTCTAGCATTTTAAGTCCGAAGACATACCGCTGTGCCACTGGGGGGCTTGTTGAAATGAGGAGAAACATTACGGATAAGAAATAAACGTAACTTTTCTTTTAGTCATCACGCTTCTGTGTTTAAAATGAAATATTTTAGACACAATTACGAATAAACAAAACTAACCTGTATTTAGAGATACAACCTAGAAATGAGTCTACGTATATTGTTTCGTATCTGGAGAGGTTTTTACAGTTTTCTTCTGAAAGGTACTTTACTTATCTAAAGAGTTCAACGGTCAGGCCAGACACTACTATGATTTAGATACAGTTGTTTCTAAATTTGAACTGCTGATCAGCGAGAAGACAGTTATTCAGTAGTAACTGCCTCCTCAAGGTTAAAAGTGCGGTGAGTGTTCAGAGGCATTGCAAAGCGAAACTAGAATACTCTGATTGGCAATCTAGCATGCTAACCATAAGGGCATGTTAGGTTTGTAGTTTGAAAGAAAAAAAGCCACTGTAACTAAGTAATAAGGACATATTACACTCTGGAACGGTAAGATGAAGGGTGTAAATTTTGTACAACTATCGTTGTATGATCTAAATTACGAATAGCGCCAGAAATTCATTGAGCTATAGCTTCTATTTAATGAGTTTAATTTAGCTATCTTAAAGACTATAGTGGCTAATGTAGTGGTAAACAGATTGTGTTTAATGCTTTCTTACATAAAATTACTAATAAAATTCGTAAGGTTAACCACAACTAAAATTGGAAGCATCCAGAAATGTAATATATTGTCCTATTCTACACTAAACTTACTTTGATTATTCGTGTTGTTTGAGAAGTTTTAAAAACATCTCACAACTGTATGAAAGTTAACAAGGAGTCGACAACACATCTGCGGCATTGGCAATAGTTTGGATATAAGAGGACATTTATCCAGTCATTTCTCTTCACTATATTGGTTGCTCCCACCTCACCTCTAAAGCTCTAAATTAGGGATGGAAATGTTTCAACCTTGGACTCTCTGATGTGGTTGTTTAACCAATGTGTCGCATTAGGTACCGTTCGTTAAAAGTACTGAATACTATACCTTTTCAGTATGCTGAAAAGATCTGTGACTATGTTTAACAAGTTGAAAATGATAGAAAAAAATTAAATCAAATAAAAACGATTTCTGTTTGTTTCTTTTTTTTACAGCAAAGTCACATTAGGCTATTTGCTGTGTCCATCGTGGGAAACTGAACCACGGATTTTTAGCATTTTAAGGCCGTAGACTTACCGCTGTCATACTGGGGAGACGAATGAAAACGAAAAATATGGAAAAATCATTGAATCCTGTGAGAAGATAAAACCTAAAAATATTTTTATGGGCATAAGATATTTTTATTTAGATCTATTAATCGGAAAATGTTTTCATTAATACAGTGTTTATAGTAAATATAAGGGGCCTAAAATTTGGCCCCTCCATGACCACATACATTTTACACAATATTTGATCTATATTAATAAAAAAGTTCTAAACAAATAGAAGGTATTTTAGATATCAAAATCAGTGGTTTAATGTTTTATAACAAGGTTGTATATTTCATTTTAGATGAAAATAATAATCCTTGGTTTAGGATTAAGGATGTAACCGAAGTATTGGAATATCAGAAAACGAGAAATGCCATACATGATCATTTCGATAATGGAGAAAAATATAACTTTCAATATTTTAAAACAACACTGAAACAGAGCCTGTGGATAACTTTTACGTTATTCACTAATTATCTATCCTAAATTATCCGAAGCAAAAAGAGTTTAAAAGTTTAACATCTGAAGTATTACCATTAATTAGAAAGACTGATGAATATAAACTAAAACAAAGGTATAAAAATCAAATTGAAAACTTAAACAAACAAATTTTTGACAATATATTACAGTTAAAAAGTATCAGAGACAGTAATAATATATTGTTCAACGTAGCATGATAAATTATAAATGAACAAAATACCGAAATAGAAAATATGAAATATCATGTAATAATCATACCATCTAGTTTAAGAAGTTACATGAACTTATTTTAATTAAAAACAATCATTTATGAGAATATCAGTATTTTATAATCAGAACTCAAAAATGTAATCTTAATACAAGAGTAAAATAATTAATAGAAGAGTAACCAATGATGGAAAACATTTTGTGAATTCCATATGACCCTAATAGCATAAATCTGTACAAAAGAATGAAAGAATAATTGCTCATAAAATATTAAGAACACAATTTCAAAACAGATTTAAGAGAAGAAGAATTAATAATGAAAATGATATATGTAAAAATAGAAAGGGCAAAATATATTGGCAATATTAATCCAAGAATTAAATGTATCAAGATATCCTAACAATTTTACAAATACTTTATCGACTTTTTTTCTAATTACTTTTTTCAATCTTATAAACTTTTATATCCTTTTTGTCATAATTGACTAATTCTGGTTCATCGAAACTTCCTTCAATTTTCTCAGCATATAGATATTTAATTTTATAAGTTATAGAATCAACTTTCAAAAATTCA